AAGAGACAAAAACGCGCAAACCCGTAGCACTTTCATTCGAATTTTTGTAAGTATTCGGAAGCGAATGCGGAATATGATCGTTCCCTTAAAGGTTCGATTTAAAATGTCGGTCCATTACCTGTAATATTTCAGTAAGGAGAACGAGAATTTCCTAGAATAACATGAATTGAGATTTCCGAGGAAATACAGGACATTTCTTTAACGTACTAGGGAACCAGGTTTACATGTTCTTATTCGGAAATTTTGGCGAGAAATAATCATATTTCTGAAAATGATTTCTATGCGGATGAGTGCTCTCGTTTTTCGGAAGGAAACCCTGGGAATTTCTGACTATTACTGCTACATCAACAGTTTGTGATTGGTGGAGTCCGAGGAAATCACGGGCAGGATGAAACGTCGGAACACGACTCAAATTCAATCAAAACGCATGTTATGTATTTTTTATTTGCTAACATTTGACCTGACCTCGATGACCTTTAATATGAATTTCAACTCAAATTCCTTCATCGTTCGAAAGCCCCGAGTCTCCTCTGTCAGAATTAGTTTTCATTTTACAGAAATACTTACATTTGGTCCTGCTGCGGTCAAACTAAGTTAGGAGTGCACTGGCGCCATCTCCGTAGAGTCTAAGTAACTACTGCGGGACCACGGTACGGTACCAATTTTCCACACTCGACCTCACGACGAAGCTTGGGTTACGCACGTGAAAAGAAAGCTCGTTCCGTGGACACACCGAACCGATCCGGGATCCCGCGGGGCTGTTGGCAACACTGGATGCCATCCCTGTATTGCTCACTCCACGACCTTGGCAGGTATCCCCCCCCGACAATATATCATCCTTCTTTTCCCAACACGCCTCCTTCCTCAAGGCCGTTCCTAACACGCTACACTACAGTGAGCGCCGACAACACACGCTTACATGAAGGCATATGGAAGGAGGCCAGCGCACGAATGGAGGATTCAGATTCATTTTTAAAAAAATGAGATTATTTTTTCGTGAAATATAGTAATTTCTCCTCTTTCCTCGACATTGTAAAAAAAAATTAAGAAGATTCGACCAAAGCATGAGAAAGAGTTTCCTTTTTTATGAAAAAAAGTTCCGATTCATTGCGGAAACCATGTCTACTACTCTCTCACTTAAGGCGGCGCAGTACCCGCTCTGAAAAAAGAGCTAGGGTCGAAGCGTTTCAGTAATGTCGGCGAGTGTCTCCCCGTCCCTCAAACTCGCCGGCTTTGGGGTGAGTGCAAGGGGATGGAGTGTGTGGTCAAGGAAGCCCAACCCCTCCATCCTTCCCCTACCGATCCACGTCCCCCTCGAAAGGGCCATATCCTCGCAGATATCGTTTGCATGAACAATGGCAGTGCTCTAAATCAAATCAACTTTAGCCTCAATATATATATTAATATCCCCTCCATCCTTCCCCTACCGATCCACGTCCCCCTCGAAAGGGCCATATCCTCGCAGATATCGTTTGCATGAACAATGGCAGTGCTCTAAATCAAATCAACTTTAGCCTCAATATATATATATAACTATTGTCAGGCAAACCTGCTGCAAACTGGAGGAAACGAAGTGCTCTATTGCCGTAGAAGGTTTAACTATGGTCTTCAGAGACTGCCACCCCAGTAGCACCCGAACGTGTTCAATCAACGTTTCATTAAGCCCAGCGTTCCATTAACGTCCTTGGGATAGTTCTATTGACTGCTTAAATGTCCAAGACGCAGAGAGACGAAAAACAGTTCGCTTCTTGAATTATGCGCTTCTTGAACTACGTGAATTTATCAAGGACGTGAATGTTATATTCCCAAAAACGGGAGTTATTATAACTATCTGCTTTAGGACACGTCCAATATGCAATTCATATTTTGGAAACTGTCTTTTCTTCACTTAAATTGCATTCAGACCAAGTGGAACCCTGCTATCTTGGGTAGTATTAGAAGTCATGAAGTAGTCGATTTGTCTGTTTGAAGGTACTATCTTCAATTGTCAGGGATAGTCTGGTATAGAAAATTGGGACAATTTAGCCATACAGATACTATCAATATATATATAGTTACCTTATAATTAGCCAGACAACCAACCCACTGAATTGCCTTTTCCAAGGAGAGATGATGATGAGCGTTTTCATTTTTACCATTTCATTCTCTTCCCCAAGAAGTTACCTTGAAGCCTCCTCCCTCTTTCTTTCGAGCCAGAGTTCTTTGTAGACTCCTTAGACTGGGTTACCTCTAAAGGCCGATTTGTTCAAGAATTCAAGTATTTTCTTTCTGGTTTCTGTGGAAAGAGATCGACGACTATGTGGAAGGTATAAGGGAAATGAATCCAGATATATCAGGAAATGACATGTTCCAAAGACTACCTGGGCTACTTGGCGCTACAGTAAACATACTTCGGATGTCCAAAGTAACCTGGACACTAAAAGGAGCTGTGGGCTAGTACACTTACCTCGCTCCCTTCACCTACGCTTACCTCCGCTTTTTTTCTTGTTCCTTGCTTCCTACATGCCTCACACAGGAAAGCGAGGAGCTGCAAATCACTGTATTGTTGCTGTTTTTTTTGCAAGATCTCGGCTCCCAAACAGTACACCTGTATTTATTTGCCACCTACCAATGCGAATGCGATACGGGAAAACAATCGAACCCTTTGAAGAACTCTCCCTCTCGCCGACCTCCCTGCGTTGTTCGTGCGATTCTTCGTTCGTGCGCGGTTCGAAAAATTCCACAAAGGAAACGATGTGGTATTTCCGAAGGGCAAGAATTTGTCCATAGCATTAGGGGAAATCCAGGTTCATATGGTCTTTTTGTTGGTTCTTTTTACGATGAAGATTCCGTAACTCCCAGAATTTTATCAAGCGGATCTCAACGTTCCACTTCGTGACAAACATTTTATAGCCTTGGTACTGGGCTCAAATCAATACTCAGGATAAGCTCGAAGTCCTCTGAGTGTTAGACGCAGAAAGGAGGATTAACAGATAAGTTCAGTGCTCGAGTCTTTTATGGCTGCTCCATCCCGTTTTCTTACGCCTCTCCTCTCTACTGACGGACATAGCCCGCAGCGAGAGAGAGCCAAGTCAAGTAAGGAATGCTCTCTCCCCCGGTTCTCACTGCGTGGTGCCACAGTGTCACGTGCGAGATGAGAGCTCGTCCCATGTGTATTTCCAATTAATGTCCAATAGGGGCTGCCTCAACTTCATCAATCGCCTGGAAGAATTTTCAGGTTTCATAAAAGGTACATTCCTTTTATATATTTTGAGCTCATCAGAGGGCAAGGAAACTCTCAATGGTCACGCCTTCGCGGATCCACGATGCAACTAAATCTGATGGTTGTTCGTGTATCATAAACTTGTGTCTATAGGACATATTTGGGACTTTGGGACTTTTTGATCATCCCTCATATTCTCTGAAAGCCTCCGAATTAATTCCCATATGTTTCTGGTCAATCTCAACGGATCTTATTTGAGATGTCGCATGACACCGGTAGTGTGGTGCACTAGAGGACTCATTCCCAACCTGTCATCTGATGCACTAAAACCTTCTGGCAGGTATTCCACGTCAGGAAAAAGCATGAGACTGCGACCATTGGGCTTACTTAAAAAATGTTCTATTAAACTATCTCCTAACGTAAAAGTCGTACTTGCTTTCAAATTCTCTTTCTGGCTATTAGGGAAGCTGTTGGTTTCTCCACGTACATCACAGTTTGGAACTTGCACTTTATGTGATATCTTTTCTATGTATGGTCATGAGTATGTGCATACTGATGAATTTGTCAAAGTTACAGACCCTGCTCATATTATTAGATTCATGTAACAAAAAAAATATCACAGTTTGGAACTTGCACTTCATGTGATATATTTTCTATGTATGGTCATGAGTATGTGCATACTGATGAATTTGTCAAAGTTACAGACCCTGCTCATATTATTAGATTCATGTAACAAAAAAAATCGAATTAAGCATTGCTCGTGCTTCTGCCGTTTTCGCTGGTCATATTTCTACTGTTTTCCATATAACAGCCCAGAGCATGAAACTCCTTAGAATAATTAGAATTGAATTAATCCCATTGGGTTCAGGGCCATATACAAAATTAAATTCAACACTTTGGATATATATTCCAATTTTGGATATATTTTAGGAGAAGTAACAAAGAGTTAAAACCAAATAGATAAACCATTGAACAAACTCCAAATTCTATATTTTCTTTGCTTGAGCGTAATAATATGAGCATTGGTAGCACTCTTTATATTGACATGTGCAAAATTATCTGCGAAATTAATTCGAGGCGATCGATTCTTGGTTAGGCACGCTTAACGAAGTTCCCTGATGACAACTTCAGACGTTATTGGTTTGTCTGATATTCCACAAATCTCAGGAGCCTGCACGAGTCAGGCCAAACGACGCCGCTGGCCAGCATGAAAGAAACCTAAGCATGAAAAGACATCCATGCCAGTGGAAGAATTCATATCTCACCGAAGGAAATGACTTCGTCTCAAATTCCAGAAATTAAGGTTGCAAATTACAATAAAATGGCAAGGCAAATAATGCTTGATGAAATTCTAAATATGAACGACACCCCACCACTGAAAAAAAACAGGACTCCTTCGTTTTTATGGTGTTACAATTAAATCAATAAAGTGATAAAATCACTTTATTGTGATCATGAATCATTTTTGCTCCATGTGTTGAAGTATATTTCCGTTCAAACAGGAGTACTTTTCAAACCTACTTGGATCAACTTCCATCGCCTAAGAAGATAGTCTTCAAAGGATTCCCAACACCACAGGCCTTTTCCAGTCGTCCAATGATTGCCAATCATATAATGAATCCATCATTGGCCGTCCTATTCATTTTATTTCCCGCAATTATGTCTGCGATTTACCTCGTCTGTACGGGTTTGCTTCTGTATAGTGGGACGTGCACGTGGTTTATAAGGCTACCGTTACAGTGTCACCTAACAAGCTCTCGGTTGAGACGACGACTCTAAAGGAGTCGAGACCGCTTACCCTCATGGCCCTCCACTCAGCTTTGGTGAGCAAGGAATCTCTTGTCTTCTGTTTTCCCCACTCCCTCTCCCCCAAGCTCTGGTCACTGAGAGAGCCTTGCTGGTTCTGAACCCAAGATCAGGATGGGAGTTGTTTTATTAAAAAAGAGCTGAACTCTTTTGCCGCTACAACTGGTTGCTTTATTAAAATTAAAATGTTTTACAGGGCTTTTAAAGTACGTACACAGACATCGATTCTAGTCACACGACATGATGGTGGCTTGCATTAATAAAATGTATTGATCTTAATTAAATACATTTTCTTCATCCCTTACAACAGGAACAGGACATTTCCATATCCATGGTAACTTCGTATTCCACTTCATCGTGAAGAGGAAGCCCCCTCCCTCCCTCCCTCCCCCCATGAACCCTCGGGGCAATGCATTGGCAGCAGAGGGATTCACACGCAACCAGCCTGAGTGCGTGGCCTCTTCGCCACTTCACCTTCCCTCCGACCCGCGCGAGTAGCTCGTGCGTCTCGAAGGGATTCCCATGTAACCCGCCTACTTCATTATTCGAGTCCAGTTCCATACGGTGTTCGCATTCCGTTCGGTGCGTTGGTGGTGCAACATGTATCGCCGATATGAGATCCGACCGTTAACTATGGATATTTAACAGTCCTTTAAGAATACATGGATTCTTATGGGAGAAAAAGAGCTCCTTCGCTAAAAGCCCCGTTGTCTCCCTTAAATGAGGTTCGTGTATTCGGGCTTTAAGCTCAAAAGCCACTATATTTATGGGAGAAAAAGAGCTCCTTCGCTAAAAGCCCCGTTGTCTCCCTTAAATGAGGTTCGTGTATTCGGGCTTTAAGCTCAAAAGCAACTATATTCCCACAATAGGACATCCAAGGCAAATTTCAATGTGGCTGAATTTCATCACGAAATGTTCAATGCGGCAGAAGCGCATAATATACCTGACTTATACACGCAGAATCAAATTAATGCATTTTCGTCAAGAAAAAAGTAGTCCTCCATGTGATGCGTTTTTATCACATCTAGCATTTGATGCGATAACCGCACCCAAAATTTGATGCGATAAAGACGCCACACGTGCAGGACAGATTTTTTCGCGAGAAAAAAACCTCGAACTGAGGCACTGACTTTTCTCTGTGTTCTTGCAACAGGTCCTTGAGTCGGATAATAATGTCGACTTCTTTGCTAGCTCTTAATACAGTTAATAAATTCTTTTTCAACTGCTGAATCCACATTATGTTTAGGTACTCAGCATATTCCAGCATTTTTCATGCTCACATGGTAAACCTTGATTTGCTTTTTTAAAAGTGGCCATGTTCCCTCACCAATACGGGTAATATGGCCTCTTGGGACCAACTTTGGGACCAAAGGCGCAATATCCAAGCGTTTTTTTGCATGTACCTTGCTGGGATTTAATAAAGGAGATATGAGTCAGTATTTTAGAATAATTGTAAAAGTCTAATTCGACCTTGATGGGCCGTGATAGCCAGATTTCATTTTGAAGGCCATATTCCCCAAATTATCTTACTGAAAAAAAGAGCGACACATTCTCGCTTCTCCGTCTTAAAGTCCAAGGAAAGGACGAGAGATTCCTACATTTCACGAATTTACTTTTCCTTGTCCGTTTTGGGCCCCGGCGCCCATGACGTGTATTTGGTGAACGTGAACCGGAACTGCATCGCTTCAAAATAGTTCTCCTACCGACGGGGAAAGCAAGCAGTCATTCTCTTCAATTACCTCGTATCCGATATGAAAATAGAGTCAGAATGGCTTTCACATTCGAAATCCAATCTCTTTCCGAAGTTCTCACCATGTCATACTTGTAGGAAATATTAGGCGAAATTCAAGTGCACTTTCATTCGTTTCGGAAGCCAAAGATCAGGGTAGATTCCTCGAGGTGTCAATATTATAAAACCATGAGAATTTTACAGATAACTTGAGAAAGAAGCTTTTCCAAGCAAATAAAGAAAACTCTAGATAGCTTAAATATCTAATTTTAAATTAAATTTTCTAAGGTTTAATGTTTCAAGAAGTAGGAGAATAACATGGCGAAAAAAGTAGGATTTCCAAGGGAATGCAAAAAAGTAGACGATTTGAAATCAATTTATATGCACATGGTCGATATTTTTTACAGCGGAGAATCTGAAAGTTGGAAAGCATTTTTTCATCCGTAATGAGTTAAGTATTATATTCTTATCCAAAAGTGAAATGTGAATCGTACTGATCATCGTATTCCTCCATGCAGGCAATTTCAAATAGAAGACAACATGGAAGTATTGGAACTCCCCGAAGGATTCTTCGGGGATCTTTCCTTCGTGCAGATACGGATAAACAACACGGCAGTGAAGAAGGTCCACCTGTCAGCCATGCTACCTTGGAAAGACTTGCATATGAAACTCGTCATTATCGATAGCCTTCTCGAGAACTTTCCTTTTAATATACTTTCTGAATTCCGCCATCTGGAAAGCCTCTATCTCTACAACAATTCATTGACCTCTGTCCCGCCCTTCAGGAGCGACAGCCTAGAAGTACTCAGTCTTCGACACAATATGATCAGGGACGTGGAATTGAATGAATGGGATACTCCTAAATTGAGAACATTGGAACTCAACAACAATTTCTTGACCTCTGTTCCGGCCTTCAAGAGCGGCAGCCTTGAAATACTCAGTCTTACCAACAATAACATCACGAGTGTGGAGTTCGACGGATGGGTGACTCCCAAATTGAGAGAACTCTGGCTATTTAACAACTTGTTGTCTTCTGTCCCGGCCTTCAAGAGCGACAGCCTTGAAATACTCAGTTTATACGGCAATAAAATCACGAATGTGGAATTCGACGGATTGGGGACTCCCAAGTTGAAAAAACTCTATCTCTACAACAATTCCTTGACCTCTGTCCCTGCCTTCAACTGCGGCAGCATAGAAATACTCGGTCTTCACACCAATAAGATCACGAGTGTGGAGTTCCACAGATGGGTGACTCCCAAATTGAGAGAACTATACCTCTACAACAATTTGTTGACCTCTGTCCCGGCCATCAAGAGCGACAACCTAGAAATACTAAGCTTGTATGGCAATAAGATCACGAGTGTAGAGTTTCACGAATGGGTGACTCCCAAATTAATGGTGCTCGACGTCAACAATAATTTGTTGACCTCTGTCCCGGCCTTCAAGAGCTACAGCCTGGAAATACTTCGCCTTGATGACAATAAGATCACGAGTGTGAAGTTCGACAGATGGGTGACTCCCAAATTGAGAGAACTCTACCTCTACAACAATTTGTTGACCTTTGTTCCAGTCTTCAAAAGCTACAACCTAGAAACACTCAGTTTACATGGTAATAAGATCACGAGTATGGAGTTCGACGGACGGGCGACTCCCAAATTGAAAAAACTTTCTACAACAATTTGTTGACCTTTGTTCCAGTCTTCAAAAGCTACAACCTAGAAACACTCAGTTTACATGGTAATAAGATCACGAGTATGGAGTTCGACGGACAGGCGACTCCCAAATTGAAAAAACTCTGGCTCTACAACAATTTGTTGACCTCTGTCCCAGTCATCAAGAGCAACAGCTTGGAGAAACTCAATTTTCACAACAATAAGATCACGAGTGTAGAATTCAACGGATGGACGTCTCCGAAATTGAAGGAATTCAGCATTGGTCAGTATTAGTTATGTGATTTTTTTAAATCCCAATAATGCCTATATGTAATACTCTGTTTCTATAGATAGTAATTGAAAGAACGCATCCTAGGAAACATGTTATGGAAATGACATATAACAATCGTTCGTTTTCTAATGCACTTTTCCGAGGAGAGCCTCCAATATAGCGCTTTATCGCAAATTCTTACGACAACCAATCATAATGGAGAGAAACTTATGTTTTATTTACTTTCACCCTGATACGTTTTACATCTCACGGAAAATTTTTCACAAGCCAAGGAGGTCGTGAAAAAATTTTTACATTTCTTTTACATATTTTTTGGCATCCACGTGGAGTGGAAAAAAAAACTCTCACTTGGTTTTCGGGCTCATTTATCAAAATGCAAACGAAAGAGAATTAGTTTTACTGCGAAATGTTTTTACGGAAAAAGAATCAGTTAACTTTCATTACTTACTGATAGGGAAAGGGATAGGTCTCTTACTCATTAAAACAGGAAGTATCTCTCACATTGAATTTAGAATTTAAACCAAGACGATACAAATCAGGCCGGCCAAAATGAATAGAACTTATTTATATAGTAGCGAGTGTATTTGCCCGAGGGGCAAACAAACACGTACTCAGCAATCAAATAGGTACTTCTGCTCGAAGTTTCAACTCTAGTTCTCTAGATCGAATCAGAAAAGCACCTTTTAAAAAAAAATATATATATATATTGTCCCATGGCATGTATCCAATACTAAAATTTTTTCCTGAACTCAGTCTCAGTAGGTACGTCCATGTCACGTTTCATCTTTCCATGTTCATCAGTTTAACTGATGCAAAAAAATTATTTTAAAACATCTCCGTTTGAAATTTGTGCCCCCGGGTCACTTACTTCCAAAGTCTAAATTCTGAGTAACGGGACATGGTAGGCAAAAGTAGCCAAAGGAAACCCAAGGAACGGCCGGGAATTGAAGCCGGACCTCCTGATTGCTGGTCGGATATGCTACTACTACACCACCGAACCCAGGACGTCCAGTGGATTCTCTGAATGCCATCCTCATCTGTCACAATATATATTTAAGAAAAACGTTTCCCCCCCAAAATGTGTCCCCCCAGGGCGTGTACCTCCAAAGTCGGATTTTTTCTGACTTCTGCGTCCAAAAAGGTACATGTGTACAAAGTTTCAGATTTATAGCCTTTCTAGAACATGGTTAGAATTAGCGTCAGTCAGTTAGCCACGATCGTCTATATATTTTAGAAACAGATTCCCTTGAACACAACCAATGGGAACAGCCATGTGCTTCCCACCAAATTTTCCCGTGTTCAGAGACATCAACATGATGGGTAAATGTATTGTGAAAAGTCACGATCGTCTATATATTTTAGAAACAGATTCCCTTGAACACAACCAATGGGAACAGCCATGTGCTTCCCATCAAATTTTCCCGTGTTCAGAGACATCAACATGATGGGTAAATGTATTGTGAAAAGTGACTGAATAATTGTTTCAATTATTTCTAATATTACTAATTAGCATCTCTTCAGCATATTTACTAACGACGCTGGAAAAGAGATTTAGTGTTTTGCATGACTCTCCGTTCAGGAGAATCAATCATGAATGGACATTCATCTCGAAAATCTTTCCATGTGCTTCCCCTCTCGTCGATCCATTATTTTTTGACACGCAGTTGAATCTCAGAGAACACCTTATTATATTTACTAGTGCGGCCTGTGTCAAATGTGTTGCTCTTGGCAAGTCCGACTAAATATATATTCGCCATCATGCCATCCAACATTTTTGTCGGATTTTACAGGAGCAAACTGGAGAAGGGTTAATGGAGTGAGATACTGTATACTAATTTTTCTCGGAACGTTTCCCTTTGCTACATCGTACAGCCAAGAATGGAACAGGATCGGTAGATATCAATCACCTCCATATTATAATATAGCTTAGTTTGAGAAGTAAGGATTCAAAACGAGTTCGAAAAGAGAACAAAGCGGAGGCTTTATTCCGTAAAATATCTACGAGTGGTATTTTTTGTGTTCACCAGAATGTGTAATCGCCAGGATGCCACAGATTGATTGAGTATCCCCTCAGTCACTATCGAGAATAAAGAAAATGTTATTTTTCCACTCAAGTGTGATACGATTATTCGACGACACCGTTCGAGCATTTTCATTTCAATTCTATGAAACATAAATCTAGCTGGTCGTGCAGCTTTTCCTCTCTCATCTCAATAATATCATTTTTCGTTCATACAGCAAAAAATCCTCTGTCAAGACTCCCATCAGCAGCAATCAAGGGTATGAAGAAACTGGAGGAATTCTTTTCGTCAGAGTGCAATCTGGGTCCAACACTTTCAAGAGGCGTCCTGGAATTCCAGAGCAAGGCCTTGAAACTGATAACACTCTGGGGCAACAATATCTCCAAACTTGATGAAGGAGCAATCACAGGTATGTTTCCTCATTAGATCAGATAGTGGGGAATACCCGCATCATCATCGTGATATTGTAATCCATTGTGATCTATCAAGAACAACACCGGAACATTCTCGTTTTTTTTTTCAAAGCTAAGCTCATCATGTAAAAAAACATGGATGACTCGTCTGCCGCCGCAGGTTTTCCCAGTCCAAAAGTGATTTCATGCAGTGGTGCACAATAAATTGTTTAGACTGATGGTAAAAACTTTTTTCAATGATACTTTTCCTAGGTAAAATCTCACAAAACACTTGCTAAACATAGCCTCGCAAGGATCTTTACGGCTGGTTCGTTCATCGGTGTGGATCACATCTGAAACCTACTTGCGTCCTGATGGGCATACAGGGTGTCTAATAAGCCACCATACCATTACAAACTGCAATAATATCCAAGCTGCTACATCCAGCTCACTTTTGTCAGCATATATTTAAGGAACGTTCTTAAGAATTTTCCGCACAATAACGACAAGGAATTGGACTCAAACATAAATTATTTCAAAAGCACACCTGAATGGTGTATGTTTTAGGAGAATTTATGGTGAACCTTTTGGAATCCTCTTCCACAAAAATTCATAAAGGTTATGCTTTACTCTCATATTTCCGTTTAGAATTGAGAAGCAGAAAAAAAATTAGTTTCATTCGCTCTTACCGTTATGATAAAAGGCCTCACAATTGACGCTTGAGCAACAAATAAATGTTGCTACCTGGAGGGAGGTCTTTGAGGATCCCATCGGAATCTAAAGGAAGTTTCGGAAATATTTTGGTGGTGAGCCTCATGCCAAATGTATTAATATAGGCCTAGGGCAATTTGAGACACAATCAAGCTTCAGAAATACCTCCATTGTTGACAATGATATTCCAAATGATATGGTATCTTCCAGTTAATGATACCCCACATTTGTACCGACTGGTTAGTAGAAGTGAATTTTTGAAATGGTATCGGTACTCATGGGACACTATTTATGAGAGTTTAAATGAAGTAGTAGGGCACTCCCACTTCTTTCGGCTTTGGACAATGAAAGTAAATTTGGAAATATTAAGTCTTGATATTTAGAATAGCAGAATATGCTAACAATATCTTGACATTGCCTCCCACTGTCCAACCAAGAACTCTGGATGAATCAGTGTTCGAGCTTCGTCAGGCGTATCTGATAGCTGGATGAAACTCTTGTATCATGAGAAACTCGGGACAAAGAGATCCCCTTTTCTGAAGGTAATAGTTTTCTTTTGAAGCGACGTATATGAATGGGGGCGTTCTGGAACACCAGAAATATTTTTTAAATATATGTTTTGGTTTCGTAGAATATGTTTCGATACCTACCTTTGATTTCCGATTTGTTGTGAAGTTCTCCAATTAGAAATCAGTACGTGTCAACAATTCTGAAAGCATGTCTATCTTCCAAAGAATTACGTGACCTTTCAACATCATATGAAATAGAAAATGATACCTAAAACCGTAGCCCCTATAGGATCGTTCGAATACGTGAAGATGTTCATGGAGATGGCCACAGACCCATCGGCATCGAAATCACGGTCCATATGCCCCACGCAGCACGGACACCCAACCTGTATATGACTTTTTAAACTGAGCGAAGGCCATCCAGGTTGGCTTACGACTACCGAATGGCAACTATTAGTTTGAAATAATACATTTTAAAATTATTTTATGTAACGGAGGGAGAAATTCCAGCAATACAGTGGCACTTTAATCTTTTTATCAACCTCTGACGGTTTTACACATTACATCTTGAGAACGAACTCACCTGACTCAAGTAATATGGATCTATTTCAAGGAAACATTTCCTGCTTAAATTATGATCATCATGATGAACTTTGCCAATGCGAAGAAAATGTATTGCGTGTCTATGATGTGCACTCTCGGAGTCGCCAATTCACAGTAGGAAGAGCTATGAGTCAACTAAATCAAATTGATATTTTTCATGTTTAATTTATAAGTTGTATATAATCGTTCTTTTTGCCGTCACTGTTGTGCTGAAGTTTGTCTTCATATGCCAAAATTCATTCCAAATGCCAAAACCTTTCGATGTATTTCATGCTATTCAAAAACCAGAGTGCTTTTGGGTTCTAAGCCTTGTTTTCTCATCCATGTGAAGCCATTTTCTTAGAGTTGCCACTATATTGTTCATGCATCGATATTTAGGGTAAGATTAAGTACTTTAACTCCGGTTCACTCTTCTACGCGAAAGTGGAACGGTTGGTTACTTCTCTGTCTGGCATCTTTGCTTCCGAGAAAGGCCGGTTGCACTGTCCCACTGAAACCTCACTGAGGATGAGCTGCTGTATTTCCAAAATGAATCAACGTATAACTCTGCTTGCATGTCCTGCAGGAAAAAACTCACTATAAACTCATGTGGTCTTATGAGGTCTCACAACTTTCTCATGGCATTTGTGAGCATCTCAAGAGGTAATCCTCGTGTTGCAATCCCCATGAGGGTCACAACGTCTCGTGATTTTCTCATGAGATCGGCCGAATATCTCATGACTGACTGGTACCCGTGGAACATTCACGTCTTCGTATTAATGGTTAATGGTTCTCTGTTTCTAAAAGTTCAAGTGATACACACAGCTGGAATTTCAACGACCATATTTCGAAAAAATAATATTGCCGTTCCCCCAGCCCCCTCCCTTAAACCAATCCCAGAATATGCCAAAATACAGGTTTGTTTCTATAACATTCAAATGAGACCATTTGTACGATTTCGAAACTTTCGTGTACCAGATGAAGGAGGAAAGATTCTTCCCATCCTCTTAGATCTCAAATTTCCCGTTTTAGTTCCCGATTTTCATCTCTATTGGACTGACCCGACCCGCGGATCGGGCCAGCAGCTCGGTCCGGAATCGAGTTTCCTGTTAGGTGCAGGCGAATTCGCCATAAGAATAATTTTTTTCCACTAAAAGTCACCTCGTTCCGTCTGCGCTCGACGTCGAATGACGTCACCCTCGGGCAAGCAGCTGGACGATGAGAACACAACAGGGCAACACGAACGTGACACCATGGGAAAACTGGATGCGTCAGCAGCGCCGCTTAGAAAGAGGACGAATCCAAACACCCCGAGTTCTAAACTCAGAAGCCTAAGCGGGCTGTCTGTTAGTAGGATCGGCCTGACACGACCCGCGGATGGGAGTGGGGTGGGGGGGGGGGAGATTCATAAAACACGGTCCGGCGATCTGGTTTTGGGTCCTGTTGGACCACGATTCGAATCGGAACAATCGGATCAGTTTGGATAAAGTTCACCAGCACAAGCCTCAGGCGGACAGACAGGAAGACGTAACTTGTGAAATATTCAAGTCTGATTGTGGCTCACGGAATTCAGTCGAATAGCATTCAAATGTTACATTTCGCATGCTTTTTTCAGTCGCCAAATTTGGGGTCATTAATAAAGAGATGGAGTGTGTGAGCTTCTTCCGTCATCAGAGGCCCCAAATTGACTTTGAGCCCCAAAAGAAACCCCAACCCCGGTGTCTATAAAGAAAGCATTTAGCGAGATCCCCCCGACGGAGTGAAACTCGTCTCACTCAAATGCGCGGGGATGATTTCGAGCACCGTGGGGAATGGGGATCAGCTCTTACCAGGCAGACCTGACCGGCGGATCGGTTAGCAATCGTGTTTCATGTTGGGTGCAGGCGAATACCTAAGAATAAACTCAGAGGAGTTTCTTTTTCGAGCCGTTTTCAGCCGCTGGCAATAAGGACCCCTCGTTCCGTCAGCGCTCGATGCGATCACGTCGTTAAATGACGTCACTCTCGGGCAAGGAACTACCAGTGGAACGTAGTGAACTATGAGAGCACCGAACAGGCCAACACCAATGTGACGTCATGGGATGTCAGGTGGAAACCTCAGCAGGGCCGATAGAGCCGTTCAGGAAATGGTCGAACCCAGAGACCCCCAGAGTTCCAAAGTTTAGAGGCCTAAGCTGACTGAGGTGCCGGTCCGATCGGCCCGACCAGAAGTGTAGGATCCACTAAAATCTCAGTTCAGCGATCATATTTCGGGTCAGGTAGTCGGATACACGACTCCAATCGGGCCGATCGGGTCGGATTCTGAAGAGCCGACCCGTGCAGGCCTCCGGCGGACAGACAGGAGTACGTCGGCTATTATTATTTAGATGGAATCCTGATTATATAATCATTCTCAAGGTCTTACGAGCTACTCATGAGGATTGTGTGATTCCTCATAAGGCTACGAAACGCTCTCATTAGGTTTGAGGTCTCATAAGACCTCAGGACACCTCATTAGATGTCTGTTCGAAAACCTCATGATGATCTCATGAAGTTTTTTTCTGCAGTGCTTAATCCATCCATGATGGCAACGATATACAGACGCTCTGAAGAATATCCCCTGAACTCACTATAGCAGTGGTCAGCATGTCTGTTCGAAAACCTCATGATGATCTCATGAAGTTTTTTTCTGCAGTGCTTAATCCATCCATGATGGCAACGATATACAGACGCTCTGAAGAATATCCCATGAACTCACTATAGCAGTGGTCAGCAACTATATTTCATGGTGGGTCAGATAGCAGGAAGCTACACCGTTCGTGGGCCGACACCTATCACGTATCCTTATAATGAAAATGTTAAAGGACTCCTCCTTATGACCCCCCACCCCGCCTCCCCCGATTACGAAGTGACGTAATGCCAAACGTCCAGCCGCACGTCTACTGTCCGACCGTAATTGCTCTTTCGATCTATTACTTCACTACGCGCCGTGTTAATATCTTGGGGAAGAAGTCCTCCGCTTCGTATTGGGCAGCCTGAAGGGAGCAGATTTCATGTCCTTGGCTGTCGACGAGTCGACAGGTAACACTGACATCGACCAACTCTGTGCGCACGTGAGGTACTTCGACGGGAAGTTTTCTGAGAGGAGCTTCTGGGATTGATACCTTTATAAAACGACGTCGCCGGTGATGTCATTTTCGAACTGATCAGCCATTTGTTCTCCCAATATGGACTCTCATTTAACAAAATATGTCTCTTGGTGAGAGACGGTTCACCTTCCACGAAAGCTGAAAGAAGCAATGGAAACGGTCATGAAGATAATCGATAGCATCAGAGCGACGTCAGGCCTTCAACACCGACTGTTCCGTGAGCTAGTTTCAGAAACGTCTGAGACCCATGCAGATCTGCTCCTGCACAACGACGTAAGCTGGTTGAGCAAGGGATCATGATTAGAACGATACTTAAAGCTCAAGACACAAGCATGTGATTTTCTGCGCTCTCACAGAAAGTCGGTTGAATATCTTTCCTTTCTGGAAGGTAATGACTTCATGGTGAAAGTTGCGTTCTTGCGTGATATTTTCGGTCACTTGAATACTCTCAATCTAGAAGGTCGTGACAAAACCTCCAGCGACGTAGTCGAGAAGTTGGAAGCCCTTGAGAAGAAACTGAGCATCTTCCTTGCTGACCTCAAATCCGAAAAGCTTTTGCACTTCAATCGACTGCACAGCATCAAGAAGAACTGGACGAGAATTACGGAGTTACTAACCTCATGACAGACTTGATTCTGCAGCTGAAAGAAAATTTCAGTTCCCGGCTCAGTGACATCAGCATCCCTAAGGGCGTCATCGGTTTTGTGCATGATCCATTTTCAATCGACGCTGAATGTGATTCTGCATCTCATGCTAAGCAAGTACTCGCTTCAATCGATGAAACGGCGCTGTAAATAGAACATCTCCATGCATCAGCGATGTTGAGGACCGAATTCAAAGAAGCAAATAATGAGGCGTTTTGGACCACCTACGTCAATAGAGCTCCGAAAACTTTATGAGAATCTCATGAGATCTCCTTTTGCGATTCTCGCGAGGTATTCTCCGTAGGGTGTGTTCATTTAACATAAGAGTCAGTAGTTAAAATAAAAACGACGTTTAAAAACCAAAAAAGTGACCAGTGATTATTGACCTTAGTCGAGTCAGCCCTCGAGGGCACAAAGCGTTAGTGGAAACCTATTGCGATTCGCAACAAATCGAAAAATGTTCCAACTTTTTTGGGGAAAGTGCACTGGGTGCCAATAAACATTTTGCAAGGGGTCTGAAGCCAGAAGTTCTCAACCAACCTCAGTGTTTTTAGTATCATTTTACTTCATAATCATTGTAGTCATGATAAGGAAAAACGAGTAGTGGACCGTATCCACGCGGATGCGTTTCGTGAGACAATGGACAGTTCCGCCGACTTCATTACCAAAAAGTGGATCGCTTCAAGGCTTGGGAGAACCAGACACTGATTTCCATAATGCTTTCGTGCGCATATGGGCCACTGCTCGGTTTTCCTCACTATCGCCAAGAGCGCCGACAATGATCTTTCCACTGAAGTCACCTAAGAAGCAATAATAAAAACAAGCTCTAGAATCGCAAAACGATTGAGGTCGATTGCGTACTTTCGGGTACGGATCCCTGGCAATACGTTTTTTCCTTACTCTGTACATTGTGAATCGCTAATTTGCATCCGGGATTGAAACACGGTACTTGAATCATCTACGTTCGGCAGATAAAGGTACAGAGACAATCGAATTGGCCCAACTCCATAACATCGTGGTCTAAGGAAATTCCATCAGAAAGTTACTAGGAAACTTTTCCATTAGTTTTTTTATGGCTTTCAGGTGACAACTGCAAACTATCAAGTCCGTGGATTGCTCGAAAGGAGCCTTTGAGGGTTCTAATTAGTTCATCGCATGACGTTTCTTATTTGCATACCAGGTCTTGGACCGAATACCAAGGTTCAACTGACCAACAACGAAATCGTCGTTTTGTCTGAGGACAGCTTCCGTCCGATGCTGGACATCCTCTCTACAGGAGATGGAGTCCTCTATCTAGACGGTGAGTTTCGCGGTTTCTTACCATTGCAGATTATGTTGCGTTTCTTCCTCGCTTTGTTCATCTGAGTAATTGCATTTTGTCTCCTGTTTCTATTCCAGGCAATCCTATCCGATGCGATTGTGACGTAGCATGGATGGTTCGGAATCCGAAATTTCTGAAGAGCATTTCTGGGGAGTGTCAAAATGGAACCAAATTCAAGGATTTAGATAAATTTGTTATGAAAGACTGTGATGGTCAATCGAACTCACCAACACCCACAAATCAAGGTGATGTCTCCAGTTGCACGCATTCTTTCACTATATGGTGCCTGTATGGTATCCTAACTTTTGTTCTAAGCCACGCCAGGGATGAAAAGATATGTTCGGATTTTTTTAGCATTGTATGTCTTTTTTGGAGAGTAAAATGTTAAGACTGCAGTGTGTTTCGAGATATGGGCGAGTATCTCCTCTCTCTTCAAATTTGCCGGCTTTGAAAAGAACGGGAAAAAACATTACCTTGGAATTCCTCTTATTATAAACTCTGGACAGTGAGAATCAAATATTGGGTAGCTGCGAGGAATATGGTCATAGGGCGAATATCTAATATATATAGACGATCGTGACTGACTAACTGACTGACTGACTGACTGACGCTAATTCTAACCATGTTCCAGAAGAGTTAGAAATCTGAAACTTGGTACACATGTACCTTGTGGGATGCAGAGTTCAGAAAACATCCCACTTTGGAGGTACATATCCTGGGGGTACAAATATTTGGGGGAAACGTTTTTCTTAAAAATATTACGTGACAGATGAGGATGGCATTCAGAGAGTCAACAGGTTGTGCTGGGTTCGGTGGTGTAGTAGTAGCATCGCTAACTGGCAATCAGAAGGTCCGAGTTCAATTCCCGGCCGTTCCTTACGCCTTGGCAGATTCCAGATTGCTCTCAAAGTTCTTGAGGTCTCGCTGGGAGATTTTTTGTTCAAGAGATATTGCTCCAAAATTTCGATTTTTTCCTCTTTGGTGTAGTGACTAGCCATGGTATCTCGCTGACTTGGTGGCAAAGTCACGCTAACNGTATAAGGCTGAAACTGGGTGGCATGGAGTTCCCTGAGTCTGCATTTCAAAATAATAATAAAAATTCGTTAACACCATTAGTGCACTTTTTTCAGTCCCATTTTCCTGATTTTTTTTTTATCCAACAAAACAGAGACAGGAAATTTAAACTTCCCTCAGAAGTACCTGTTTGATGGCTGAGTAGAGGAGAAATCCTAATTTTGAAATATGTGTCCTTAGCGTAGATTATTGGAGGGAAGTTTTTCAAAATGTATTCTCCACCCTTACAAAAAGGGACACAAGATAAGATTTCAAGTTAGGCACACAGAATCATAGAGGTAATGATTTTGATGAAAAAAATCAAGACATTCGACCCCATATGTCACATATGTCAATGGGGACGTACTTTTAATACGTGATTCCCATTTCGCAAGAAATGAATGAATTAATCACTGTCCAAGGTAAGGGAGCGCCGAAGGCGCGACCATAGCGAGCTTGTTTGCCCGAAGGGCAAACAAACTCGCTAGTCTTATATATTCGCTTCATTTACCACTGAAGCATATGAAGCATGACATTACTTTGCAATTTTCCTCCTTTAATGGTGTTTACTACATCAAAAGAGAACTTGGCTCCAAGATACCATCGTACCCTAGATACCCTAGTAAAATATACATTGAAGAAGGTTATTTCTTCCATTTAATTTGATGTTCCTGGCATGTTCGTTGCCTTGGACTCTCCTTGTTACTTTTAGGAAAGAAGCTACACGACCTGATGCCGTCTTTCTGGTCGGTCAGGCGAAGTAGTATTCAAAGAGGAGTCCGTTTTCCAGTTTTATGGATGTCTATGGGCGATTTCATATCAGTCAGCGTAGTTCTTTCCTCGACCCACTTTGATGTCAAGGGGATTTCGGCATGCTGATAGTACCCAATGAGAAGAGAAACTAAAACAGTTTTCTGCTCCATACATTTTGTATTCTGAAAATTAGAGCCAATGAAAAATTTAGAGATTTTAGGCCAATTTGATCCAGGAATCACAAAGATTGTCAATAATAACTCCGTTATTAATGAAGGCAAAGACATGGATATGATGTTGGTGGATATATTATAATACTCCCTATGAGGTGATTTGTAACCCACGGTGGTAAATGCGATGACCTTGGCCTACCTCCAGCATGAGATGAATGAAAAATCATGCAGATTCAATTCATCGGAACACCAGGCAAAATCACACACTTTTTACGAGTCGAATTCACTAGATTCATTCATTGTAGCTACGGTCAGAAACAGCAACTCTGCTATCGTTTTCCTACAGCAGGCGGAATGATCGGATGTGGACGACTCAGCAGCATTGAACATGGATCCTTCACTATCGAATCTTGTGCCAGTCCATCGGAGGACACTGCCGAAAGAAATAATGAAAATTGCATTCAAAATGGAAACTATGCAGTTTGGAGCATCGTTAGATACAGATGCGATAAATATTATGAACTGCAGGGACCGGAATTCAGAAGATGTAAGGAAGATGGAGAATGGACCGGACCCACCCCGTTTTGTAAGCCAGGTCGGTTTCTTTTGTCACCACATTTCTTGTTTATCGGACACATCACTGCTATTTCAAATGCCTGTGATTTATACCGTCCTATACGCAGTATGCGGGAAGAAGGAAAGTCAAATTCAACTATCAGCAGGAGGAAACCCATCTAAAATCGGAGAATGGCCATGGCAAGCGGCCATTTATGACCTCACGAAGGGAGATGTCATTTGTGGAGGGGCTCTTATTAGGGAAGAATGGGTGCTAACAGCGGCCCATTGTGTCGTTGTATCAAGTTCCATCCGAACTCGAAATGTTACTGAAATTTCGGTCCACCTAGGGAAACACAATCGACACGATCTCATTGACAAGTACATGCAGATCCAACAGGTTCAGTGATCCTCACGTTCTTGTACTTATATCGACTCTATTCCTCGTGATGAAAACTGACACGATCTCCTTGCAGGTGTCCCATATAATCTTGCACAAGGACTTCAACCTATATAATAACTATGACTCGGATATTGCTTTATTGAAATTAGCAAGACCTGCCGTGCTGACTGCGCGAGTTCAGTTGGTATGTCTCCCTATCCGATTTGATTTATCTGAGGTCAACCTCGACAGCGGAGTGAATGGATGGGTAAGACACGAAACATATAAATACCTTTACCTAAAACTTTCCTTTAGCGTTCTCATTGCATCCTTTCTTCTTCGATTGTTTGACGATGCAGGTGGCTGGTTGGGGTACTGACCATTCAGATAAACTCATAACTGTCCTGACGGAGATTCAACTCCCGGTGATATCCAATCGCGAATGTGCTCTGAAAACCCGTAGTTTCACGGGAGACCAGGGCGTCACTCGTACCCTCACCTCAAATATGTTCTGCGCTGGTTTTTCTGCGGATACTCCTCTCGAAGGTATGGCCTCAAGACATGTGTGTTAAATTCGCATGAATGCATTCTGAGATTGTCAATTGAGCTCCTCCCAATTCCAAATGCAAGCCATGTGCTTTGTAAATACCCTTGCATGTTAGTGGACACGCGTGTGGAAACACTCTCAGAAAAAGGGGAGCGATTTTTCTCAAAAAAGAGAGTAAAATTGCTCTCCGCCTCCATGAGTAAAAACGCTGCCCTCAGAAAGTGATAGGGATGTCACGCAAATAAGAAAATTCTCACATATATTGTGTCGCTTTCGCATAGGCGTTGACCTACTTCTGAATGTGCTGATTACAGTACGCGTCAGAGGTTGGACCACTTCTTATAGGTTCTGTGGAGTATCCGGGATATCAGTCCCTTATTACCTCATTTCATTGAGGTCTGATTGAATGAAATTCACGGACACACTTTGTATATTCTAGGTCTCCTATGCGACTAAAATCATACGCGTTCCAAAAGGGTTCTCAATAGGAATATCAGCTTCTTTATGGTCTGGACTCCATGGATATGTCTTGAATATGTGGATAACAAATGATGAAGTGTCCGTGTTTATTGATTCCTATAACGAGACTAGGCGAGACATATGG